AATTTGGGGCATTATCTGTCACAATCTGAACAACATTTTCTTCACCCACATCTTCAATCACCTCATCCAACATCTCAAAAATCTTGTCATGTGACTTCACTATTTCAGAAGCATCAAGTGATTTCAAGAAAACAGTCCCCTTGGGACTATGAACTAGAAAATTAATCAATGCTCTTTTTTTTATGTCAGACCAACCATCACTCATTATCGTGCACCCTGTCTTCTTCCATTCGCTCCTATGTTCATTGACAATGCGTTCTGTCGACTCCACTTCTTGTTTTAAATACTTTACTCTGATCTCATGATATGACGGTGGCTTGAATCCGGGTCCATGTTTTGCAATCAAATCACACATGATACGAAACTCTTCACTTCTTGCCGTGTTGAATGCTATGGCATTGTTGAAGTAATATCTCGAAATTGCTAGACATGCATCTTCTCTCAAACTCTTCTTGTACATGCTATTAATGGTGCTTTGATTGGTCGCCCTTTTTTTGGAAAAAGTATTCGATCCATCACCAACCTCGTCATTGATTTTTCTTTTGAAACCAACATTTTCACAATCATCATCATCGTCTTCATCCTCTTTTCGCCTTTTCTCTTTAGAGGTAACTACAATGTCCCACATTTCTTGCCTCAACTTATCAGAAACACTTTTGCAAGCACCCACATCCTTTTGTGTCCCTGCTAAGTGATGCTTCATACGGAACACCCCCCCGGTTATGACTTTGCTACAATAATTACATTGTAGCTTTCTATTGCTAGAATCAATTGCTTTGCAATGTTCCCAAGCAACATCTGTTTTCTGCCCAGGAGCATTTTTTGCAATTGGTCTACTAAATGGAGTGGCTGAAGCAGGGATTGACATTGTAAGAGAGTAGAGGGAAAGAAGAAGCCTGCGACAGACACAGAGGATTCCCAGGAGAAAAAAAATGTCGCTGGAGAAAAAAAAAGAAGAAGGAAGACTGATACACAGAGAAGTCTCGATTCCCAAATAAATAGAAGAAGATACGTCTGCTTTCCTATTCAAATTGGGAATCTATTTACGCTGCTTTCCTATTGAAATTGGGAATAAATAAAGGGAGATACCTGTTTCCGATAGAAATTGGGAGTCGCAACAGGCGCGACTATCCAATTGCAGTTCCAGAATCGATTGGAAGGAGATTTCGAAGAGACACTATTTGGACTTCTCAGACTCGGCGATTGTAGCCGATCCTGCGTTTCCACGAGCCGAATCGTCGATCCGAACGAGTCCATGGATTTCACGATTCTGCAGCCGTCCCAGATCGGTAAGCCTCGGCCGATCCTCAAAATCGTTGAATCGTACGAGTCAACTCGCGAGTTTGACTACCTTGTCCACAGGAAGCTGCTCCACAAACTCTACTTGACTTTTCGTACTAACATTCCTCTCCATCTACATTTCATAAATGAATGAATTCAAAATAAAAAAAAAAAAGTAACAACTAGGAAATCACAGGTAGAACTAACTCTACCTATCAATCAAACGAACAAAAAATCCACGAATCAAATTGGAAGTTCAGGGAGTTCAAATCAAATAATAAGAATTTCAGAAGTGAACAATGTGAGATGCTATTAATGCAGACGAGTATGAATTTGTCACACCCCCACCCCCACGCTCTCAGCTTTTCTTCTTTCTTACGAGTATTTGTTTTCTTTCTTTCTTCTTTTTCTTCTTCACTCTGTTACCCCTCCCTCCCCCATGTTTTGTCATCTTCTTCAACCTCTAAACTCTAGATGAAAAAAAAATTAAAAAATAAAAAATTGAAAATTTAAGTTTCAGATATAAAAAAATCAAAGAAATTAAAAATCAAAACTCTCCAACCACAACCCCTTCCCCTCCATTACAAATATTTCTTCCTCTCCAAAGAAATTGAAAAGAAATCGTTGAAGAGAAGGTGGGAAGAAACCAAAAATCAAATCTAGGGTTCTTACTCACCAACGTTGTCCCTCTTCATCGTGATAGATTTGCCGACACCGCTGCTACCTAATTGTGATAGCTTTATCCGAGCAGGAAGAAGGACTAGATCCAGATCTGTAAGCTTTACCGCTAGGTCTTGCTAGATCTGTAAACATTGTCGCCTGGGGGTCGCCCCTAGTGCATCGTTGCCAACACTCTGAAAAGAGGGGAGCGCGATATGGCGAAGAAAATAAGAGAGGAGGGGATGACAATGAAGACAATGTGAGCTTAGGGTGGGGGCTGAAGAAGGAAAGAAAGAATTACTCTAAAAACTGGCAGGTTCCAATATTTTTTAAAATATAATTTGGGGTACCTTAAATTATCCGAAAAATTATTAAGAGGTGACATTCCGTTCATGCCTCCGTTAGTGTCTCTCCGTTATCTTTTTCTTCTTCTTTCTTGTTTCTTTCTCTCTTTCTTCTTTTTCTCTCTTTCTTCTTTTTCTCTCTTTCTTATACCAGCCCCCCACCCTCACACCTTCCCAATCCCCATTAGAGACCAGTGCCCCCCCTCCTCCTCGTTTTTTACAAAGAGTCTAGTACTATATTTTTTAGAAAAATAGCAATACTTATTATTATTATTATTATTATTATTTCATACGGAGTATTTATTATTATTTTCATTGTATTCTATTATTATTATTATTATAAACTGCTCCATATTATTTTTAGGAAAAATTACCCAAAATAATCCCAACTTTACCCGGTCTTTCAAAAATAATCTCACCTTTCACTGTGATGCATAATAATCCCAACTTTACTGAAATATGCCAGTTTTGGGTCACCTTAAGTTTCTAACAGAGACTTAACGGAAATGCCCGTTTTAGGCAACAAAATGAGAGTTGGGATTATTTTTGATGAATTTTCATTTTTTTCATTTTTTTTAAATTTTTAATTTAAATTTTTTAAATTACTTTCTACCTTCATTATCATTTCTTTTTCCTTTTTTAAAGATTAGTCTTAGTTAAAAAAAATAATAGATACGGAGTATAAAAAATTAAAAAAATGAGAAATGTAACTAAAATGATACAAAAATAATAAAATAAATAAGGTAATCAATGGAAACTAACTTGAAATTGGTAAAAGTAAAATAAAAATATACAGGTGAGTTTAATATTTTACGCATTATACAAAGTATTAACATATCACTTCTTATTTTTTTAGAAAAACTTATCTACAATAATTCCAACTTTACCGGACGGCTTGTTCTTTTAAAAAATAAATTGTACATTAAGACTCTGTATAGTGTGTAAAATGTTAAAACCCACCACTCCGTATATATTTATTTTACTTCTTACCAGTTTCTGTTTAATTTATATTGATTACATTATTTATTTGATTAGCGTTGTATGGTTTTAGTTATTTTTCTCATTTTCATTATATTTTATATCTACTTTTTTCTAATGTAAAAATAATTACTTTGTATTAATTATTATATATTTCTTATTGTTTTATTTTTCTTCTATTTTTTAAATTTATTATTATTATTAAAACTTAATTAGTAGTTTTGTTACACTATTTTTTAAGTAAAAATAACACTAATTATTATTTAAATTAAAACTTATTACTATTATAATTAAAAACAATTTCTAGTATTTTTACTATAATTTTTTGTCATTCCAAGTTTCTTTCGCATTAGTCATGTGGTGGTCAGCGGTAGCCGCCACTGATAGTGGGTAATCTAGAAAATGAGAGGACTTGGGATAAGAATAAGACGGGTAAATTTCTCAGGAATTTTTTATAAAAAATGTAAAATGATAAAAATGATGTTACATTTCATATTAATATAATGAATTAAGACGTAAAATTATAACCAAGGGAATACATATTTTTTTTATAAACGATACATAAATATATTACTAAAAGTAATTTTTACTTAAAGCTTTAAAATATGTTAACCTTTTTTATGCAAGTGAAAATTGGAAATTGGGAAAGGTCAATGTGGGCATACAATTGTTTTTAATGGGGTTTTAAGTTTATTTTTCTAAAAAAGTTAGAGTAGTAAAACTAATAACTAAGTAAAATGATAAAAATAAATCATCATAATATTTATAAAATATAATAAATAATACAATAAATAATAATAAAATAATAATAACTAATAATAATAATAATAGTAATAATAATAATAATAATAATAATAATAATAAAAGAAAAAGAAAAAGAAAAGAAAAAATAGAGGAAGAAAAAAAGGGGGAAGGGATTTGGGTGGGGTGGGGGGGTCTCTAATGGGAATTGGAAAGAGAAAAAAAGAAAAAATGCAAGCAAGAAAGAAGGAAAGAAACGGGAAAGAAAGAAGAAAGAGATAACGGAAATTGAAATTAACGGAGACATGGATGGATTGTCACTCCTTAGTAATTTTTCAGATAATTAAGGTACCCCAGAGCATATTTAGAAAAATAATGGGACCTGACAGTTTTTATCACAAAATAGAGGGTATTCGGCAGCAATTTTTTGAAAAAAGAACGAGAAAAATGAAAAGAAAGAAAAAGAAGAGGCGTGGGGTTGGATGTTGGAAGGTGGAGTGACGGGAGAGAATTAGTCAAAAAAAGGAAAAGAATAAAGAGAAAGAAATATTTCCACTAAATAGCACTAAAACTTAAGTCATTTCTCTAAATAGTACTTAAACTACTCCTTCCGTTCCAAATTATTTGCCATATTTGTATTCGCGAGGCAAAATATCAGGTTTTTTCAATTCATTTTATTTACATATTGGTATAAAAATAAAAAATAAAATTTATATATAAAAAAACTATATGAAAAGTTTTTCGAAATAAGAAGTGTCAAGAATATTTTATTTTATCAAATAACCAATGAAAACGTCGAAATAAACAAAAGTTCCCGCAACTGCTGAAAAAGGAAATGTTGTGAATATTTAGGGACAGATGGAGTATTTTATTCTTTAAATAACACTTAATAATGTCTATAATGATCAGTGATGGCGAATATTTACTTGAAAAATGACTAATGCATAATTACTAAAAGTACTACATTGGGAAGAAAAACACATATGGTGCTATTTAGGGAAAGTCATTATGTTTTAGTGCTATTTAAGTAAATTCCTCATAAAGAAAGGGTAATTTAGTCTTTTTGACAAAAAAGATTTGCCAAATAAGGAAACGGGAAGAAAGAAGTGAGACGGCCCAAAAGAAAAGTGAGAAGAAAGATATGAGACGAGGGGAGTAAAAATTACTCCCTCCGTCCTATAATGTTCTTCCCACACACTTTTTACACGGTCAAACTTTAATCACTTTCCTTACCTATTTTCATTAGGTAAATGATAAAATAATATAGTCTTGTCACCACTTGTTTTGTAGAACTTTTGATGTAGTTTTTAAATATATAAATTTTATTTTTTAGTTTTACACTTACAATCAAATAAATTGAATTGAAAATAAAGTCGGTCAAACTTCGTAAAATGAACCGGGAAGGTCATTATAGGACGGAGGGAGTATGAATTTTTTTAAGTGTTGCTACTTCCTAACTCTACTCCTAGTTTGGCTAAATCTATTTTTTTTACGATAACTAGTATCACACCCCGTGCGTTGCACGATTCGTATTAACGTTATAAATTTATATTGGTATTATTAAAAAAAGTAAATAAGTACATCATATAATGAAATATAATGTTTTTCAATTGGATAATACATAAATTATCTCCACCACATCTTTCTATTCTGAAAAGAAGGGGATACATGTACCCATCATTTTCCCGCCCAAGTGACTTCTTAAATACGGTTAGACTCGATCACGGGCCCGGGTATCTGCCCCGCCCGCAAAAGCCCACCCGCAAAATAGCGAGCTTGGGCTTGACATTTTAGGGTACGGGCCGGGCTTGTGCCTTATAAATGGCAGCCCGAATATTTTAGGACCGGGCTCGGGTTTATGCTCAAGCCCACGGGCCGGCCTAGCCCGAATAAATTAAAATATTTATTATTAATATAATTATAATAAAATAACAGTAACAACATTAATAATAATAATAATAATAATAAAGAGCAAACTTATTTCAAATTATTATAATCACACATACATACTTCTATGGAGAAAAAAATAAAATATAAGTTTATATAATAAAATGAATACATCTTTACTACTCCGTATTGTTTGCAACTTATAATGCATTGATTATGACATTCCAATAGATAATATTTTATACTCCATACATAGTAGCAATATCAAACAAAATATATTTATATATTAATTTTTCTTTCATTACTCATAATATATTAACTTGTTACTTTATTTTTTTTAAAAAATTATTTTTTTAAATTATTTAGAAGTTTTTGTCGGTCGGGCCGGGCCGGCCCGAAGCCGCAGGTAACCATGCGGGTCGGGCTCGGGCTTCAATTGTTAGGCCCGTTATACGGGCTGGGCAGCCCGCACTTTGATCAGGTCTAAATACGGTTTAAGATATTAAAATGGTGATTGTTTTAAAAAAAGAATTAAAAAGAATGAATGATTCAATTTTGATATTATTATTTTTAAAAAAAATCAAAGGAGGTTAGATTTATTTTTCTTGAAACGCTGATTTCATAACCTTTTAAAGCATATAAATAAAAAGAGGAAAGATTTAAAAAAGAAGGAATGCTTGAATTTTATTAATAACTTTAATGCGTAGGCAATTAACATGGTGCAAATAAATTACATAAGATTAAAATTTTAAAACTTTCATTATTAAGCACAAAAATACTCACGGCCTTAAAATTCTTGCAATATTTTTTTATTTTCCGTCACACTAAAAAAATTAGTTACGCGTATAATAAAGAAAAAAAGTTTCAAGAAGTTAATTTTTTTAACATCGCCCAATACTCGACAATAAACCTGGCAAAAAATGACGCGAGTTGTTTTTGACCCGAGTTGAACAAAGGTTTTACTAACTGAACCCGAAGTTGACTGAAACCGAAATGACCCGCTAAAAATGGGTTAAACTCGACCAAACCCGAACCCAACCAGACCGAGCAGCTAAGCTAAGTTTTTTTTAGAATCAATAATTTTAATATGAAATATAGTGTTATAAAAATAAGATTATAATTATATTTCTTTGCTTACTACTCATTTTCTGTGTATAGATTTATACCATCATAATAAATTTTAATGATGTCGCATAATTATCTTACATTTTTTCAAAATTTTTACATATTTAATTTTTTTATTCGTGATATTGACACTAAATCATAGAAATTATTTAAAATTTCAAAAAAAATTAATAAAACTCATAACTCGTTGGGTAAACCTGAACCCCATGACATTGGGTCATGAACATGTAATTATCAACCCAAACTCGAACTTATTCGAACCCGAAGTAACCTGAACCCAAGGTGACCAAACCCGAATCCGACCTGACCGATCGGTTTGCCAGGTGTACTCAACATATCAGACAAATAAAAAATGATTCGAGAAGAAGCCTTTTTGTTTAACATGCTAATAACTTCCAAAATTCTATGAATTCCTTTTTTGGTAATTCTTTCTTTTCTTAATATGTTAAATATGTTTTTCCATATCATGCATAAAAAATCCTCTTCAATTTTCGGGCATTAAGTATGTACAGATTTTATAAAGTTAATTTCTTTTTTTTAAATAGTTAAAACCGTATCATTTATAAACACAATGCTTTCCTTTTATAAAATTATATTATTTATATACACCGCATTAAATTACACATAAATCTTATAAGGTATTTTCCTTTTATAGAATGAAATAAAGCCATATTTGCATGTTGCTTAATTATAATTACCGTAGATTAAAAATGTAGATCAAAATCGATGGCCCATAAACGATAGCGTTTGGGCGGGAAAAAGCATGGAGCATAATTCACCTGCTTTTAAGAATAGGATAGACAATATTGCCCTCAAATATTGACTTGTGTCTAACTTTTTTCTTTTCTTTTTTAAAGGTTAAACTTATTAATTTAACATAAATAAAGTGAATTAATTCAAAATGAAAGTAGATATAACAACACCTTTGGCCAAATAGTTCTAGTATCTCTGATGATTTGGAAAATTGACACCAAGATCCAATCTGTTTTTGAAATTTATTTCAAAAGTTCTCGTGATTTAAAAAGTTGTATCCACACCCTCCCCGATAATTTTTTGGTCATTTTTTGGCGAAGAGGGAGCAGTGGTGCCTATTTTCTAAACTATGATGACACACACACTCATTTCTTATTTTTATTACTTTATTTTTTTTTCTTTTTTTATCTCTTTGTTTCTAATTCCTCGAAAACTTTTTTTAAAATACTTTAAATTTTTTATTAAGTTTTTAAAAATTTAAAATTTTTTGTATTTGAAATAAAAAAAATTAACATATACTCCATCTATCTCAAATAAAATATTTTATTTTTTGTTTTATATAATATTTTTTGGTAAGTTCAAAAAGAAAATCAAAAATAAAAAAAATTAAAAATATGAAAAAAAAAAAGAAATGAAAAAAATGAAGCGTCTAAAAAAAGAGTCTTATACAAAACAAATTTTTAGATCGCCTAAAATAAATCCTTAGAATCTGAATGTTCAACTAAGATATTCATTTTTATATTTTTATTTTATTTCTTTTTCTACTCCTCTTTCTTTGAAGTTCTCAAAAAAAAGTTTTAAATTTTCTATTTTATAAAAAAATAAAAATTGTTAGTTTAAGACATACAGATGCAATATATGTTAATTTTTTTCAAAAAAATTAAATTTTAAGAACATTATAAAAAAATTTAAAAAGAATTTTTAAATTTTTGATTAAGAAAAGAAAAAAAATAGGGAAAAAACAAAAAATAAACCAAAATAAGAAATGAGCATTAGTGCCCCCTATGGCTTCGAAAATAGGCGCTAATACCCCCTTCTTTGCCGGAAAAATGGCTGAAAGATGATCACAGCCTCACAGGGGGTATGTGTGCGATGTTTTGAAACTACAGAGACTTTAGAACTAAGTTCTGAAAATAGATGGGTATTCGTGCCTATTTATAACTATTTTCCAAACAATGAGGGTACTGGTGCTATTTGGCCCAACAACCTTTAAATTGTGTATTTTCATTGATTATTTGAGAAATTATTATATTTTTGTCATTTCTTATTTTGTAAAACTTTTGAAGTATTTTTTAAATATGTAAGTTTTAAATTTTATTTTTCTACTAATCTTCAAATAAAATAAATTGAAAAATTTGAGATTGTACTTTGTTTTACGTAATGTAGCATTTTTTTATGATCGATCACGGATGGAGTATTTAAGAACTTTGATGATATAAGAAGAGCACAAAATAATTATTTATGTCATGTGCAAATGTAATCTCAATATTATCTTGTAAAATATTTTCTAAATATTATTTTATCTTTTTCTAATTAATACTTTCTTCGTCTTAAAAACAGTTTTTTTCTCTTTGAGACGTCTCAAAAAATCTTTCTCTTTCATTTTTTGAAAAAACTTTAAGTGGCTCACAATCTTTTTCTCTCATCTGCATCACTTTTAAATACATATTTTTAATTTCCTTAATTTTTATTCAAGTAAAACAAAGATCCTTTTTGTGATGGATGGAGTATACCATGTACTCTGTTTTTTAATTACTGGTCAAACGTTGATTTTGATTGGCTTTTAAAAATCAAAACTGACAAATACTCTAGAACAGAAGAATATGAGTTTGGATCTAAAGTTAGATGAAATTTTCAGCCGCCTAGACACGAATTCAGACTCGATCTAAGTCTAACCAATACTCGAACGAGTCTATGAGAGTTTTAGGAGCAGATGTTTACAAGAAATGAGAAATGAGAGTTTTAGGAGCAGATGTTTACAAGAAATGAGATATGAGAGTTTTAGGAGTAGATGTTTACAAGAAATGAGATATGAGAGTTTTAGGATAATAGCCAAAATTAAAAACTGAGGCATTTAGTAAACCAACAAAAACTGAGGCATTTTGAATTTGATGTGGTATGAACAGTAATACAATGAGGCCAATAATACGAGTAGTCTTTAATGTAGGAAAATGCAATTTGAGTGTTGTTTCTCTAGTACCAACCTCATTCACATTGCTTATTTTGGGTTTAGTTCCAAACACTCAGTTTGGGAAGAGCCAAAATAAATCGCTATAGATCCTCACGCCCATGAATTGTTTATTAAATTGCACTCGTAATAAAATTTGAATGCAATAAGTGTAGAATAAGATGTAAGCACAACAATATAAGAGCACTAGAAATACTCGTGAAGCCCCGGGGCTTCAAACTCTCTCTCTGCTACGTCAGCTTTAACTCACACCAAAAATTCACTGAAAATGGGTTTGAAGCCCCAGGGCTTCAAACAGGGGCTTCAAACCTTCATTTTTTACATTTTTAAATATGCATCTTCTAAATTTAAATTATTAAATTTTAATTAATTTATTATTTAAATTAATCAAAAGGAGATTAGTACATTAAAAAAATTACATTCATTAAAAAAATATTACATTCATAGAAGAATACATTCATAAAAAAGTTTCATTCATTAAAAAAATATCACATCCATAAAAAAATAACACTACAAAGAAATTACTAATTATTCGAGCAACTAAAAATATCTTCATTCAAATTCGAGTTGTAGTAAAATATTGCAAACTGAAATAATTCATCAAATAAAAAGTACAGTCAATAAAAAAAATGTGTTAAATTTAATAAAAAACAAAACAAAATTACATTACTAAAAAAAATTAAACAAAAAAATATTACATTAAACAACAAAATATAGAGTAAAAAAAATTATGTTTGTGTATATTTTTTTAAAGAGAGAGTGGGGAGGGGGGAAGAGTTTGAAGCCCGTTAAACATTTGAAGTAGAAGATATGAAGCCCGGATGAAGCCCCGGGGGGCGGTGTTTAACGCCCCCTGGGCTTCAAAAGTAACATAACGCCCGGTGGCGTTACATGTATTACCAGTGCTCTAAAAGTATGCTCTTAAAAATTATTCAACGATATGATGTAGAAAACAGAGCTTAGAACTGGTGAATCACCCATCAATAAAAGACCAAGAGCTTTTTTTTTTTTTTTGCAGAAATGAGATTCAAAGTTGTTCAAAATGTTGCATAGAAGCTCCATGCCCAAGAAGGATTTGTTATAACCCACAAGAGTCTTCATACCTGAACAAGATGAAGGAAACTGAGATTGTTGTTTTCAACGATACGTCTAAGCTTTGTAGGGTTATAACCCACAAGAGTGTGGGTTATAACCCACAAGAGTCTTCATGCCTGAAAATCACACCGATACACATAGGAAAACTCCACTTGTAGATGTTGATACTTTCTCATCATTTCAGCGACCAATGAGGTTCGCTTAGCTAAATCCACACAGTGATACTTCCTCAACCTTTCATTCCTTGCTCTGGTGGCAGTGGCAAAGTGTGGAGGAGGCAATAATTTTTTGTATTTTTCGATAATCATACGGATAATCAACCTCCTAACATTTGGACAATGTGTCAACACCTTCTCTGCCCACTCCCAGAAGCCGTCAAGAACATAACATGCCATCTCCAAGACTCCCACATTCCCCAAAGAAGACGAACCATCAAAATTGTACTCAATGTCACAAAGTGCGTAAGGACAAAATAGGGAAAGATGGCTAAGTTGAGGCGAACAAACAGCAACTTGTTTTAAATCCACAACTAGCCTTGACCCGCCAACAGCTATTCCAAAAGACATGGACGGTTTATTGTCGAACTCCCAAATTCGAAATGTTTTCAACTTTGGTGCTTGTATCTTCATTGGGAACAGATTTGACTGAGATATGCAACTGTCAATGATTTCTAAAATCTCTAGATTGTCTCCCTCTTCAATTTCAAGAAGCTGACTGTGAGTAGAGGAAAATTTGAAGTGTCTCAAACTTTTACTGCCAGTGACCTTAAATGAACCAAAATTACATTCGTACACACGCAGAAACCCAATATCACACTTCTCCAAAAGGAACTCACGTCCATCAAAAAGCTCAATTATTAGGGTCTTTAATGTGAGACCACACAATTTGACTGTAATTTCTGGCAAATCAACCTCATCTGAATCTCCTAGGATGGGTGAACATAGTACTAAAGACTCGAGTTTGGGAAGAGACAAAAGAAGTCTGTTTAGATCCTCTACCGAAGAACGGACACAACGTAGAGAAAGTGATGTCAAAGAGGGGAGCCTTTGGAAATTCAGTTCAACCCCTCTTATCGTGTAATGGCATAAACTCAAGGTTTCCAATTTCCGCCTCCCACATACATTAAGAACATTGATGCTGGGAGAAGTTCTAACCATATAGAACAATTCGGACAAATTTTCCCTGGCAAACATCAACCAACCCAAAACTGAAAGAGCCAAAAACTCGTGCACCATATCCATTTTAATCCTTAATGTTCGCAAACCGGGTGACTGAAGTATGGTCTTTGTGATCAACATTTCCAGTTCACTAGTGGGAAGCTGCGTATAGACACGATAATCATCGAGAGAATCAAAGGAAAGTGTATGAAGGTGTTTGAGATAAGCCTCTCGCCACTTTTTACAAGTTAGAGAAGCTCTAATGACAAATCGTGCAACTCTTACACGAGACAATATCTCTCCAATAAGCTCAAGAGGAAGCTTCTCCAAAGGCCCTCCTCCGCAACTCCTACTCGTACACGTCCAATTTCTTTTATTCGACCACATCTGTATTCAATAAAATTCAAAACATGTGGGAAATCACAGGTAAGCATATAGATCAAACAAACATAAGTTCGATTAAAAGTATAAAAGTAGGGTTTCAAGTCTTCGAATCCCCAACAAAACATAAGTAAATAAACAAGTCACAACTCACAAATGGAAATACGCCAGGGATGTTCGATTACCTATCACCTTTGGACCAACAAAAACAATTTTCTGAATTTAAATTTCTATTGTTTTTCTCCGTATTTTACTTCTCTCTTGAAGGTACACTGTGTGTCTGTGAGCGACCTACGAATGTGAAAAGCATCTATTGAGTACGGACCAAGGAATACTCCCTAGGAATAATGTGTAAAATATCTTTCAAAATTACTTTATTTATACATTGATAAAGAAATCAAAAGTACAACTTACATATTTAAAAATTACACAAAAAATGCCACAAAACAAGTGCTCACATGTCTATTTTATTCTATAAAATGATCACTAAAAACACATACACAAGCAAAAGATATTGGAACCCTGTAATAGTAACCAGACCAATGTTTTAGGGACAAAAGGTGCACTTTGTAACACTTTTTAAATTGCATTTATTTGACATATAGTAGTTTATAATTTATAAATAAAAAGTATAAATTTGAAATTTATTCTTTACTCACAAAATAATTTGCATTACTATTTACTACGTATATGATTAAATTACATTTTTTTCATATATATTTTCATGGATCATTTTTTTCATATTGTATTTTTATTGATCATTTAATAATCTATCCGTTCCATAAAAGTGTTCAACATGTTCTTTTTCGTTAATCTCAAAAAAGGTTTCATTTTCCACTTTTACCCGAAAAATCACATTACTCTGGCACTCTTTACTGATTAAAGAATTCAAGATGGATAAACAAAAGCTTGATCTAAAGCAAGAATGGAAGATAAAGGAATCGGAGGATACATTGAAGAATGGAAGATAAACAGAGAAGAATAGAAGATAACCTGGCTCACGCGAAGGAGCGATGCGCAAATCAAGATGGCGAATTGGCGATGGCGGACAGATAGGGTTAGCCGTTATGGGCCAATTGGCTATGGAAAACCGCAGACGGATTGAAGAAATGGATTTGGGAGAGGGACAGAAGTCATAGAAGTATAGAACTATAGAAGAATTGGCTATGGCGATGGCAATGGCGGACGTATAGGGTTACGCATGGCTGCGTGCCTGGGTCGAATTGAGATTGAGAATTTGTAGAAATGAGTTGTGAAAATGGAGAAAAATGCTTATGTTATAATCATTCGTTAATTTCTATAGTTTGATATTGTATTTTGCTCAATTCTTTTACCATCAATTATGAAGAAAAAATATTTACAGAATAAAAAATATTCATTTCATCCGTAGTAAGTCATACGAAACGGACCATCATGCCAAATGTTTGGGAAACCTACACGAAAAAGCATGCTCTTTGCATTTTTTTTACTTCACGTGTACTAAAAATATTTCATATTTTGATTTTTTTGTCAAACAATAAAACTCTTTGATTACAAATTAAACATAATTAAAAAAATGATAGTATAAAAATTTGATATATCAAAATTATATCTTAAAACGAGCTCAATTATACGGAGTATTAAATTTATATTATAATTAAATACAAGTATTTTTTTTCATAATTTGTGATTAAAGTATATCACTATTTGATAAAAGAATCATAAGAAAATGAGTTAGGATGGAAAGGAGTATTTTTTTTAGCACAAATTGTACTTTTTCTTCAATTAAAGTTTGGAAAATTTGTTACCTTATGAATTACTCCGTATTTTTTTGGCCATCAACAGAGTCACACACTCTACCTTCAAGAGAGAAAAGTAAAATACCGAGAAAGAAACACAAGAAATTTGAATTCAAAACTTGTTTGCTTTGGTTCGAAGGTGAATATCAATCATGTATTTACATCTGTGGCTGGTTTTCAGCTGCTGCGGTTGTGGGATGGTTAGTGTTCACTAGATACACTTTGTTGGAGTTGTTTTATGAGGCTAACACTCTTCCAAGCATTTCTGTTCTTGATGTATGTGGATGGCCAAAGCTAAAAACTTTGGGTTTATGTAAATGCCCAATAAGAGAAGGTGAGCCGAAATCCCAAAGATTCCCTTGTTTGACATCATTTTCTCTAAATCGTGTATGTGTTTCAGCGGAGGATCTAAACAGACTTGTTCTGGCATTTCCCAAACTAGAGTGTTGCGTGTGGAACTGATTCTCTACTCGGATGTAACCACCTTTTGAACATCTCCACATTTCTTGATATATACCCTTATGGTCTTTTATCTTTGATTGATTCGCTACGACTAAAGAGTAGATTCAAATCTTAAGACCCAAAATTGTTAAATCCAAACGATTTGGTCTTTTTTCCGTTCAAAAAAAAACGCACCTTGTACTCAGAATGATTATACGGTTCTCCCTATAAACAAAGTTCGGTTAGTTTACTCTGCATTGCCTACTCATCAAACTATTGAGTGCTAGTCCTTTTATGTAGTTGAATTGTGATTTTTCATTTATCATGATTTTTAATTTTCCTCATTCCTTTTTTGTAACTTAGGCTCTCATTTTGAACCATACCCCGTATTATTCTCCCTAAAAAATATTCGTAATAACATATATTAGCTCCATTTGACATCAGTGTCCGAGCTTAGTATTAACTTTTTGAAAATGTTATCTGACAGCAGCGTTTTGGATTAACATTTTTAGAATTAATCTACACTACTAAATTTTTATCTAAAATGATAACTCTAATCGAAAACATTTTTTTCCCAAACAAGACCATTATCCCTCATTATTTCTACCCAATTTAAAAAATAAAAAATGTGTAGCTAATAGTTGTGAGAATGAAAATAGGTTTTCTAATTATAACAAGCTCTTTTTGTTCTAAAGAAAGTGAAGTATTGTAAATGAATAATAAAGAAAAATGTGAAAATAATCTTCGGGAAAAAATGTTTTTTATTAGTGTTATCGTTTTAGATAAAAATTTAGTAATGTAGATTAGTTCTAAAAACTCTAAGGAAAAAGAGTACCGTCAGACAATATTTTCAAAATGCTAACACTAACCTCGAACATTATAACAAGCTCTTAGAAACCATCAATTTTACGAATGAAGCATCAGAAGTGCTTCAAAGATGCAGTGGCACCGTTGGCCAGTGTCAACATAATCATATCCAAAAAACATTATCAAAGAATGAATTTGGTACTATTGTCATTAGTTGGATTATCTTTTACCAAGTCGATTTTCATTCGCAATTAACTTTACATAGCCCTTGCAAATTCAACAAAAAATTTTTAAACCCTGGACGTATTTTTTCAAAATTTAGATTTAAATTAGTTTTTGACATATTCATTTCTAAATTTATATAGTAGATTCTTTATTAAAAAAAATTAAATATGTTATACTACCTCCGTCCCGCTATATTCGTCCACTTTTGTAATTTGGAACTGTTCATCTAAGCACTTTGACTCATCAAATTCTCTCAATGTGCAAGCTTAAATATAGTCATGTGTGATCTTGTTTGATTTGTCTTAACATATAGATTATTAATATATAATTTCTATAATTTTTTAATATACAAATTATAAGATAAAATGGATTAAAGAAGTGTACTGAATGGTGTGTAAAAATGAAAGTGAACAAATACTCTGGGACGGAGGGAGTATCATTTTTAGATCTTAGATGCCAATGTTATATTTTATTTCATTTTCTAATAATCTTATGCTAAAGAAAAATTACAAAAATGAAAAATAAATCGATTCAGTTCAGATCATACCAAATTAAAACTAAATTTAAATATAACTACATTCATATCAGATCAGACTTGATCAGACTTTATTCTAATATGATCCAGATGTGAAAAGACAAAAAATTGCTGCTGGATACCCCTTATTTTGGGATAAAGACTGGCAGGTCCTATTGTTTTTTAAAATATACTCCGAGGTACCTTAAGATATTCGAAAACTGACTCCGGGGTGACAATCCGTCATTCCCTCCGTTAATATTTCTTCTCCGTTATCCTCCTCCTCCTCCTCCCAAAAAATTGCTGTCAGGTACCCCTTATTTTGGGATAAAGACTGGCAGGTCCCATTTTTTTAAAAAACTTACTCATAGGGATTTAAAATATCCCTTGTTCAAAATATTACTTTATCGAATTAATATACAATATATATTTTATTTAATAATAGGTCAAAAATTAAAAACAGTTGATTGAAAAAAGTCAAAACGTGACATATGCTTCGAGACAGAGATAATATTATGTACTCCCTCCGTCCTAATTCTTTCTTCCCAGTTTGACTTTTCCCTATTTTTAATTTTTGGCTTTGACTTCAAATTTTACCCTCCTTAAAAAAGATTTTTTGAAATTTTTTTTGCAATCATTCAAAATATAGAGCTAGAAGATAATTGGTGTAAATACATGAGGGTATTAATGTCATTTGCATTTTTTTTTCTATTGGGAAGGTAGTTTTAGGACGGAGAAAAAGGGGAAGCGGGAAGATAGTTTTAGGACAGAGGGAGTATTTCCTATTATTTCCTTAATTATTATTAGAAATTAATTGCAGAGTAGTAATTTTATTACTCTATTTTTAAGAAATACGGAGTAACAATCATTATTATTTAGAAAAATAGTACTCCGCATTAGTCAATTTGATAGTCGCCATTGGTAATGGTGTCTTGGTAAATTGAGAAAACAAGAAGACTTGAGAAAAGAATAAGATGAAACAATAAAAATAGTGTTAAATTTAATATGTCTTGTAAAGATAATATGAAACAATAAAAATAGTGTTAAATTTAATATTATTATGAATTACGACGTATAATTTATAACCAAGTGAATAAATAATTTTAATTTTATAAATGATACGTAAATATATTACTAGAATTAATTTTCAATTAAAGATTTAGAGTAGTAAAACTACTAAAAAAGTTAATACCCTCATGTGTTTACCCCAATTATCTTCTAACTCTATATTTTGAATGATTGCAAAAAAAAATTCAAAAAATCTTTTTTAAGGAGGGTAAAATTTGAAGTCAAAGCCAAAAATTAAAAATGGGAAAAGTCAAACTGGGAAGAAAGAATTAGGACGGAGGGAGTACATAATATTATCTCTGTCTCGGAGCATATGTCACGTTTTGACTTTTTTCAATCAACTGTTTTTAATTTTTGACCTATTATTAAATAAAACATATATTGTATATTAATTCGATAAAGTAATATTTTGAACAAAGGATATTTTAAATCCCTATGAGTAAGTTTTTTTAAAAAATGGGACCTGCCAGTCTTTATCCCAAAATAAGAGGTACCTGGCAGCAATTTTTTGGGAGGAGGAGGAGGATAACGGAGAAGAAATATTAACGGAGGGAATGACGGATTGTCACCCGGAGTCAGTTTTCGAATATCTTAAGGTACCTCGGAGTATATTTTGAAAAACAATGGGACCTGCCAGTCTTTATCCCAAAATAAGGGGTATCCAGCAGTAATTTTTTGTGTGAAAAGAACAAGTTCTAAATGAAAGACCATTATTAATCAATAATCACGACAAATAAATAGATGATGTGTGGAAAAAAGTAATTAAACAAGTACTCCGTAGTAGAATGAATAAAGAATGATGGAGAAATTTGAGGGAGTACACGGGCCAGAATATTTAAATTCAAAGTTTCAAATTTGTGTGTGTTAGTTGGAAGATGAAAGGTAAGTGTTTCATACTGGTGTATTTCCACTGGTTTATTTGCTTCCGCTTTGATAGGAATTCGAACCTTTAAAACCCTAGTTTAATACTAGTACTTGTAATCGAAATTGTGTTTGTTTGATCTCTATGCTTACCTGGGAATTCAATCACCGTTTTTTCCTTTGCTAAATTGTGATTTCTCGGTAATTTGAAGCTTTGAACCCCTAATTTAAGTAATTGGAATCTTAATTGTGCGATCTACATCCATACCTGCAATTTAGTTTCCCATTTAATGATATACTCACTGACTGTTTTGTTTATTCATTCAAAAAATGGATTGAAGATGGAGAGGGACAGTAAAAGGAGTTTGGAAGAGCCTGCGGAGAAAATTCCTCTTGAGGTTATTGGGGATATACTGTCCCGTGTACGAATTGCACGAGATATGATCAGAGCTTCTCTAACTTGTAAGATGTGGCGAGAGGCTTATTGCAAACACCTTCATACACTTTCATTCAATGATTTTGATGATCGTGTCTACCAAGAGCTTCCTACTAGTGACTTGGAAGTGTTGATCACAACGACCATTTTCCAAACACCCGCTTTGCGAAAATTATGCATTCAAATAGATGACAAGCACGAGTTTTCGGCCGGTTCAGTTGTGGGTTGGTTAATGTCTGCCAGAGATAATTTGTCTGAGTTGTTTTATAAGGTCAGAACTTCTCCCAGTGTGAATGTTCTTGATATATGTGGACGCCGGAAATTGGAAACCTTGACTTTAGGGTATTACACAATAAGAGGGGTTGAACCAAGTTTCCAAAGATTCCCCTCTCTCACATCACTTTGTCTACTTTGTGTCACTATTTCGATTGAGGATCTAAACAAACTTCTTTTGTGTGTTCCCAAACTCGAGCGTTTAGAGCTCAATACACTCTTCCTACAAGATCCAGATGAGGTTGGTTTGCCAGAATTGACTGTGAAATTATGTTTTCTTACATTAAAGACTCTATTAATTGAGGATATCCAAGGATTTGAGTTTCGTTTGGAGAAGTGTGATATTGAGTATCTGCGTGTGATCGAATGTGCTTTTGATTCATTTAGGGTCAGTGACAGTCAAAGTTTGAGACGCTTCAGATTCTCCTTTTCAAACGCCCGACTTCTTGAAATTGAAGAGGGGGACAATCTAGAGATTTTAGAAATCATTGACAGTCACGTTTCTCAGTCAAATTTGTTCCCAATGAAGATACAAGCACCAAAGTTGAAATCGTTTCGAGTTTGGGGTCTTGACAACAAATTATCCATGTCATTTGAAGGAGCTGGTGAAACTGTTCTTGACGGGTCAAGGCTAGTTTTGGATTTAGAACGAACGGCTGTTTGTTCGCCACAACTCACCCATCTTGCTATATATTGTGACTATGCACTTTGTGACCTTGAGCATCATAATGAAGGCTTCTCTTCTTTGGAGAATGTGGGGGTCTTGGAGGTTGGGTGTGAAGTTCTTGACGGCTTCTGGGAATGGGCAGAGAAGGTCCTGAGACGTTGTCCAAATGTTAGGAAGTTGATTATCCATATGATTATTGATAAATACAAAAATTTATTGCCTCCTCTGCACTATGCCACTACCAACACATCAAGGAATAAAATGTTGAGGAAGTATCACTGCGAGGATTTAGCTGAGCGAACCTCATCGGCGGTTGAAATGATGAGAAAGTATCCACATCTACAAGTGGAGTTTGTCTATGTGTATCGGTATGATCGGTATGATTTTCTCGACGACTGCCTATCATGAACCATTAATCTACAAGATTCACATGTTGTATCGCTCCAAGCACTAATCCTAATTTGCATCATGTTGTGCATGTATTATTACTCTTGTGGGTTATAAATCCTTCTTGTGCATGGAACTTCTATGTGACATTTTTAACATCTCTGAATCTCATTTCTGCCAAAACATTTTGGTCTTTTATCTACGGTTTTTTTTTATAATTGAATGAGCAAACATTTTTATTGGTATGCTAAGCTATGAAATTTATGAAAGTTATTGAAAGGGTGGTGATAGTCACACTTTATTAGAACACTGAATTCACTCAGCTTTGTTTTTGAATTATTTGCCCAATGTAAAAGTCATATTTAGCCTTCACTGTAAACTAAATCTTCATCTTAACCTGCCCTGAGTTGCCACTGCCATTCCTTCCCTCTTGCGTTCCTCTCCATTGACGACAATCCTTCCTCTTAACATCTCATACCCTTCTTTGATTCCTCCCTTAACACCGCACCCCTTTATACGGATCTTAAAAATAGATTTGAAGATTCTTTCCATAAATCTACAAAGTTTATTAATGAAATAATTAAAATATTTCATTTGTTATAATTTACCTTCGAGGATGGCTGCACACCCTGGAGGAGAAGGTCTCATTTGTTATTTTGGTGTCTTTTTATCATTTAGGGCTCGTGTGGGAAATGGTCAACAGTTGAAGAAGGTATCAGATCACCATATTGATATCTTCGGAGATATCGAATTCTTTCATTTCAAAGAATTGTGATATTTCGAGATATCAAATTTGATATGTCTTCTAGTCTCACCAAACACCAAAAAAGATTCTGATATCTCTCAATATCAGAACCCATATCTCTTTTACAGTTATACACGGGTAGATTTTGTGCTTTTTAACTCTTTCAACCTTTGAACTTCCAAACTGAATCTATGTTATTTTTGTGAATGTTGAAATCATTTCACTTAATTTTCAGTTTCCCTCTTGAAGATGGTAATCATACAAAATGCTAGGGGTACACCAAATGGTGTACCATATTTGCACCCCACTCCATCCCCACCATACAAAAAGCAAGATAGAAAAAAAAAATTAAAAATAAAAAAAGAAATGGAGGGTGAATTGAAGATGCATGGTGTACAAATGAGGTACACCATTTGGTGTACTCCTAACATTCTTCTATATATCTATAACTTTGAAATGAGAGTTAAATTTATAGGTCTTGGCCAATTCGCCAAAAAAGAGAAAAAAATTATTTTTATGCAATTGTACCTGACCACACCCAAAAATTGAATGGGTCTTCGGGTTCGGGTCACGAAATTTATGTTCAAAATTCATTTATTTGGGGTCGGGTTTCAAGTCAAATACGGGTCGAGTCAAATTTTGTCGGCACTAGTTGAGAGAATTCGGGATATATGAGAACACTGATTGGAGATATAAAATTCAATATCTCATTAGACTTCAATAAACACATGAAATTAATTCACTTATCTCTCTTGCTCATTAAACATGTCGTTTGACCCACTTTTCCATTGAATAATAATGGGAGTGATAATAACTCGATCAAAGAATTCATCTAACTTGTGGAAGAGGTGGAGTAACAAGTGAGGACAAATGACTCAATATTGCCTTCTATTTTTGTTTTTTGAAGATAGTGAACAAATACATCTAGATCATCCAAGAAAATAATATTACACGAATAAACTGGGATGAAGAGACTCGAGAATATAATAAGTTAGGAATATACAAAGAATAATGATAAAATAATTTAATGAAATGGTTTTGCAAGACAAATCATACGGAGTACGAAACTATTTTCTTAACAATATCCAATGTATTTGTGATTAAATGGGCAGATTATACAGTTTCACTATTAAAAAAGTAAATTGGACAATTACATTGAGACGATGAAACAATCCAAGAGCCCTTGTGAGTGTTTCAATCGCATGAATAGTGCTTGGTGAGTCAAATTTTAACTCAGGTTAGTTGTTACAACAACAAGAAATGAATATAATTCTAACTCCACTATTAGGAGATCTCTTTGGAGTCAAGAGTTAAGATGTACACTGCTTTGTTCTTCTAAAATAGTTCTTCTGAAATAGAGAGAGACTACTTCTATTAGGACCTTGATGCATTATGCATTGCTGTATTTACTACCCAAATTTCATTGAGGCTCCGTTTGATACACGGAATTCAAACTATGCAATTGGAATTGAAGACTTCAATTCCAATTTTAGTGTTTGGTAGCACAAAAATTATGTGGAGTATCTGTGACAAATTATACGATACAATCAAATGTATCTTACTTTTGTTACATCATTACAAACACGTAATTAAAATTGTTTCATAATGAACATTACGTTGTTTCATAATGAACACTATACTTGACCGATTTCAATATCTATCCATACTTTTTCAACCTATTGAAGCTCCATTGGGGATCGAATACATACATTCGACAAAGGCATTGGGATGTCATTGGACTAGATTAGTGGAAGGTCCTTGCCTACCATGGTCCATGGAGCATTTAAATTTATTTCATTATTTTTTTAAAACTACGGCATAAAAAATGTAAGTCTCAATTGTGGCTCTTTACTTGCAGAGTATGATATAAGGCCAGTGTGACAATGACCTTGTTTGGAAAACAGTTTTTTGGATGTCTTTTGGTATCTTTGATTGATTTTGTATTTTTTGAATAATCGAACAGCCGAAATCATTGTTGGCTAATGACTTTTTCACTTGAATGTTTGATCCACAAAGCCAAGGGGATAGCTTTTAGACTTGACTGTTAGAAAAATTAATTGTTTTTATCATTTTTTGAAAGATATTCAATAATATATGTAACAAATATAAAAAATAAAAGTTAAAAAAATTAAAAAATAAAATTTAAAATTTAAAATTTAAAAAACAAAAATAAATGATATATATATATATATATATATATATATATATATATATATATATATATATATATATATATATATATATATAGCCGTTCAGAACAGTTGAGTATCCTCCTCCGGCGTGATAGTGACCTGACCTTGACCGCTTATTCTGATTCAGATTGAGCGAGTTGTCCGATCACCCGTCGCTCTGTCACTGGTTATTTTGTCCTTCTTGGTGGGTCCCCTATTTCTTGGCATACTAAGAAGCAAACCACCGTTTCACATTCTTCCGCAGAGGCGGAATACCGCGCCATGGCTAACGCCTGCGCCGAAATCCGGTGGCTCCGTGGTCTCTTGGCCGCATTACAGGTTCCTTGTGTTGCTACACCGCGCTTGTATTGTGATAACAAGTCCGCTCTCTTCATTGCGACTAATCCGGTGTTTCATGAGCGATCAAAACATAACGATATCGATTGTCATATAGTTTGGGATTGCCTCCAGCGTGCTCATATTGTCACAGCCTATGTTCCTACACGCTTGCAGACAGCTGATATCTTCACGAAGGCGCTCCCCGGTCCTCTTTTCCGTTCTCTTTTGTCTAAGTTGGGCATTTTTTATCTCTATTCTCCAACTTGAGGGGGAGTGTTAGCGTATATTATGTATATATGAGTTTATGTATATTATTTTGTAATATTGTGGGCCTATCATGTTGGGCTTGTAACTTGTATTTATATCATGCGGTATCAATGAAACAATCAAGTCGTTCAGTTACCAAATTCTACACGACAACCAACAATCGCCAGCAAACATTCAAACAAAGCCTCAAACAAAGCCAATGGTTATGGTACATGTGGGTTTATTAGTTTTTTAGGTTTTTTTTTGTGCGACATATAAATATTATTAAAATCCAAGTGTAAAGTATACAAAAATAAAAGGGGCATATCTGATTATCTGAACCAGCAAAAAAGTTCATAGAGGTTGGAGAACCAATCTCAAACCACAATGAAAAGCCATAAATTAAGAACCAAGGCTCCCAGGTCAGTTACCAAAATCAAGGCACGTAGACTAAAATCAAAACCCATACCACGATGTAACAAAAGCCAAGCTCATAAACCAGGCACCCAGGCCAGCTTACTAGTCGTATTTTTTTGTGTTTATAAATTGGTCAAAACTATTTTTAAATTATTTTAATTTATAAGTCAGGTAATGACAATTTTCAATGTGCTTATAAGCTGATTTATAAACTATTTATAAATTAGAAAAAATAAATAGATCTTAGCTACTTATTTTTAAACTAGTTTTTTGATTTATCTGTTTTGACCAAATTATTTACAAAACTATTGTCACCTATTAGGAATATCCCAAATGAATTTTATATCATTTTATTCATTTTATCTACACAAGACTATTTCTGACTTATAAAAAACTTATAATTTAAAAAGTATTTATTAGTAATAGACGATAAACACTATTACAGAGAAGTTCCACATAATTAGTTCTAAATAAGTTGTGAAAATTAGGAGAATACAACTTGCTCATGTGGCACCACTAGTACTGAATCGTGACATTTTATATATATATATATATATATATATATATATATATATATACACGGAGTATATATATTGTTGCACTATGTTACTTTTGACACAAATAATATCCGTCTAAAATGAATGCCACATTTTTTTTCTAATAGTCACAGAAATTTTTGTTTATTTATACGTTTTCATTGATTTTTTGATAAAATAAAATATTCTTGACACATCTTATTTGTAAATTTTATTTTTTGTATATATACTAATATTTAAATAAAATAAATTTTAAAAACTTGATAATTTCCTTTGTTTCTTGAAATATGATAAACCGTATAATGCACCAAATGAAAAAGTCTGACAAAAATCAATTGGTATGATTAGTAAGCAACCTGCAAGGCATCAACTCAAAGAATGGTGTAATACTACTCGGTCCCAATTAATTATTCAACCTTTATTATTCTCATTTGAAAAGACGAACAAGATTTCATCTCATTTGAAATAATTTTATTTACAATTTATCATGAATATAAAAATACTCTACATCAAAAATTCAATATCATTGAATACTACATCAAAAACTATACTTTGTATCATTCAATAATACATCAAAAAATTCTACAAAATAAAAAATAACAAAATAGTTTAATCTATCAAATCATCAATGAAAACATACATATAAACATAATACTTCTTTCTTATGTGTATGTTTTCATTAATAATTTAATAAAATAAAATATTCTTGTCAATTCTTGTTTATAAAAAAATTTATGTACTTTTAAACAGTATAATTTATACTTTTATTTCTATACTACTTTGTAATTATAATAATTTTAAATGTGATAAAATTTTACACATTGTTTAGAGTGTAGCATCTATTATGAAACGGAGGGAGTATATTAAGAGACCGAAATAATAATAGAGATTAATTTGGAAGGGGGGAAATACTATTTTTCTCAACAAATAATGGAACATGATTTTTTGGGATTTTTTTACTTGTTACCGCATGTCGAGCAATAGAAAATGTTGGGTGAAAATAATTTTGGGAAGAGGTGTGTCACGCGTACACCAAGTTTGTAACCAAACTAGTATACCAGTTGTGTACGAAGTGTCTGTCTCGTGATACATTTAGTGTACAAATTGAGGTACAAATTTGGTGTACCAATTTTTCCTTTTGGAAAAGACTTCGCATTAACAAACTTATAGAGCCATACTAAATTATAAAAGGCATTAGCATTAGAAATCTGATCGTTTGAAACAGAATATAACCCCTAAAACTGAAAATCCTATACTGGGAAATAAAAAGTAAGCTTCTCCGGACAATGATGGAGAAAAGCAATGAAATGCCAATACAATGAAAACCACACACACAATCAATTTTGGTCATCATCTTTTTTGGGAGCTTCCTTGATTTCATCAGCTCCATCATCCTACACACAAAAACGAAAAGAAAAAAAACGGTAAAACAAATTTAATGGTAAGCTTGTTGATGCCACATCTTTTAACATTCAAGTACAAGAACGCGCAAAACGTCTAGGGAAAACCTAAAGAGATGGAGATGGCGTTTTAAAAAAAAGGAATAATGTTAGGGGATAGCGGGATACCCCAATTTTGACATCACCTTCTTAAAGACATTCATAGACAATGGTATCAAAAATAGTGTCCAAATTGGGGTACCCCAAGCTAAATTCTTTCAGAAAAAAACTATTGGCTCGAACAGACATAAAAACTTCACAAAAGTATAAAAGTACCCTACAAAGGCGGCCCTATGTTAAATAAGAATAGCTAATGGTTCATGTCTATTACGTACCTGCATGTCTGATGTCCATAGAGTGAGATTATCACGAAGAAGTTGCATGATCAAGGTGCTATCCTTGTATGACTCCTCCCCCAAAGTGTCTAACTCGGCAATTGCTTCATCAAAGGCCTAGCAAAGTGAAGCAAAATTAACAAATGGAAGACAACTGGTGATCAAATAAATGAATCCAAGTGTAAGAAGAATATGTTCCATACGGAGTATATATTAGCCGACTCTATTAGCTCAAATCCAACAATTTTTCATGCAAAGGAGAAGCAAGACAAAGTTCAAATCAGCTGATCCTCCAACTTTAAGCCTTTGCATGGCTGGATGGCTTTAGATGGGAGAAAAGGAATGCAGAGTGATGTGTGTTTAATGGGAGTTGGGAGGAAAGTGGAAGGGCTTGTGCACTCCTCCGAACTCCTGTTGGGATTCCTCCAAGTCCCACACCGGAGGGAGAAGAAAAACTGGACCAAAATAAAAAGGTTCACCCAACCCCATTAGTATGAGGCCTTTTGGGAGGTGCCCAAAAACAAATCCGTGAGGGCTTGGCCCAGAGCGGACAATATCATACTAATGCGGGGTTGGGGTGAGGGCACGCGCAGTCCCAACATGTGGTATCAGAGTCCAGGTTCTTGCGGGCGGGAGTAGCGGACTGTGCAGTGTGGAAAAATCTCGGTGTGACAGTGTAACTTAGGACCAAGACCAAGAAAGAGGATCTGCAGGTGGTGCCTTGTGTTGAAAGTCTTCCCGACGAGAGGAGGTCGGGCGGCGCGTCCCGTGAAGTTATAGCCACGGCGGTACAAGATGATTTGGCGGATCAAATGGTGTAGCCCAGCGAAGGAAAGATCTGCGGTTCGAGCCTTGCGTCGAAAGTCTTCCCGATAGGAGGTCGGGCGGCATGTCCCGCAAAGAGTGTGCAGCGGTGCAAGAGGGTTAGCAGATAAAAAAAAAAGGAAAAAATGGATTACCGCTGGAGGGGAGGTCGGAAGTTGTGTGGTCCTTGGATGAGGGGAGGTTTGTTGGGATTCCTCCAAGTCCCACACCGGAGGGAGAAGAAAAACTGGACCAAAATAAAAAGGTTCACCCAACCCCATTAGTATGAGGCCTTTTGGGAGGTGCCCAAAAACAAATCCGTGAGGGCTTGGCCCAGAGCGGACAATATCACACTAATGCGGGGTTGGGGTGAGGGCACGCGCAGTCCCAACAACTCCTCATCCCCAAATGCATGGATTTTGGAAGTTCTTTTTACACCGAATAAGATATTTTTTTATTGTTTTTCTAGAATACTACTTCATCATCCCTCCATCGAACCAAACACAATAATTTATAGAACTCCATTTATCCTTCCTTTCTGCTCTTGCCAAGGAGTAATAATACTAATTCTTAATCAAAACTGTCCACAAAGTTCAAAACCGTATAAAGAACCTAGAAATTCTCACCTGTTTGGCGAGATTACAAGCACGGTCAGGAGAATTCAAAATCTCATAATAAAACACAGAGAAGTTGAGAGCCAGCCCAAGGCGGATGGGGTGTGTTGGTGCGAGTTCAGCATTTCCAATGTCCTGCAACCAAACAAGCCAAATGTTTTACCACATTTGCACATATAGGTCTATAGTTTCAAGAATGGTTTAGACTCTCATCCCATCATTCACAAAGGGGGACAATAGGAAAGGTCAGATGATTTTATCTTGAGGGAGAAATTATAAATTGTAGGAAATTCATTTTTTTATTAACGGTATACCACTTCCAGGACTTATGTTCCTTCCAAATGAAACAATTTGCCATGCAGGGCTTGTCTGACACAAAGTTATGCCAAACAGGATTTTCACTGAAAGTATGGTATCACGTAATATTAAGATTAACAAATTGGTTGGATCTTTAATCCAAAATATATCATAAATTTTAGTTTTAAAAAATATACTAGTAACAAGCATTCTTTATTTATTGTGAACGTTCAGTGAAACGAATTAAGATGTGCAAATTGATAAAAATAGCTTATCATATATGGAATATGTCTTACCCACACACCTAGGGTGTTCATTAGTTGCCATTTTTAGTTTAGATAACAATTTATGGCTCAAATTGTATCTTTGATTTAATTAATTTTCTTTACTGTTCTTTGGTATCTACGTCTTCTGCTTTCATTTAATGGTAGCATTGAGACTAATGACCAAATTTGTAACCCATTCTGAAGCAAGGGGACTATATGTATCCACTTGGAATAACTAGGAGGCTACAATTACACTTACCAAATAATTTAGGGATAAAAACTGTTTTTCTCAAAGTTATAATGGTGCATTTAGCATTTTAATTGCAATGCGGGTTCTTTCACTGAAATTATCTATATTACATTAATATAGCCGGAAAGTACAATACATGCATGTGAAAAAATGTGAGCCTAAGGATGACAAACAGCCTAGTGTGCTTGTGTGAGGTTTTCAGTGTCAAACCATAGAACCAACATTTGAAACACAGAATGATAAGGGTTGATGCTATCTCACATATCATGGGTATCGAAATTAACATTTGGGTGCGTTGTTCATTGGTTTGGTGTCTAAAATCAAAGCCAGATAATGGTGCAGAACCACTTATTTGAGGGGAAAAAATAAATAAGGATCATGTAAAAATAGTTTTGATATACTATTTACCCCCCTTTTGTATACATATGTTCCATCTTTGACCATGGACATTGGACATTTGCCACATGTGGCATTCAAAGAACATGTGTTTTCAAGGTCGAAATGTGTCAAAATTGAAAATTCCTGGAAAATGCTGGCATTTTCATCTCTGAATTCCGATCAAATAAGAATTACACATCCGTGAGTGATACAATTGAAGTACAGAAAAGAAAGACATTAATAAGGCGTATGAAATGTTGCAGCCAGCACTTAGATCAAACAAATTACAGGCGAAAATCAAAGTATAGGAATATACCTGAGCAGCTTTATACGCAGAGAGGGTTCGCTCAGCAGCCTCCTTACGCTCGGAGCCGGTCTTGAACTCAGCCAGGTAGCGGTGGTAATCTCCATTCATCTTGAGGTAGAACACCTTGGAATCTGCAGCCGAAGCGGACGGGATAAGCCTAGAATCCAGGAGCTTGAGAATGCCATCGCAGATGCCGGAGAGCTCCTTCTCGATCTTCGATCTGTAATCGCGGATCGCGCTGACGTGGTCCTCGTTTCCCCTGGATTCCTCCTTCTGCTCGATCGAGGATATGATCCGCCAAGACGCCCGGCGGGCCCCGATAACGTTCTTGTAGGCGACGGAGAGGAGGTTGCGCTCCTCCACCGTCAACTCCTCAGAATCGCCGAGCGAGGCGGAGACCTTCTCCATGTACTCCACCATCTCGTCGTACCTCTCCGCCTGCTCTGCCAGCTTCGCCAAGTAGACGTTCTCCTCACGCGCCGTCGGTGCTGCCGCCATCTCGGATGATTGCAGATCTCTCCGTAGCCCTCTTTCTGTGTATGAATGCGGTGAATGAATGCGGAGATCGGCTAATAGGAATGTGAAAACTGAAAGAAATTGAGAAGAATGTTTGGAGGCTCTTTCGGTTTCGAAATGAGGGGAGGAGACAGTTTCACTTTCACAGGGAACCGCGTGATTAATGGATGTGGGGCACCCGTTGCCCGTTACCCAATTTGAAAGTTTGAAGGGTCATGCTAGGGGTACACCAAAAGTGTACCTCATTTGTATACCACTCTTTCAATAACCACTCATTTATTTTTAATTTTTATTTACTTATTTTTTTAAATTTTTTTGCCTAATTGAGTGGTAATGGAGGGAGTTGGGGACAAATGGGGTACACCAAAGGTGTACCCCTAGCATTTTCCAAGTTTGAAATTCACCTTTTGACCATGCCCAACCCCAAAATGGATTAGAATCTTACTATATACAATGGTAAGATGAGTTTGTGAACAGTATTCCCGCCCATTTTATAGCTACAGTAGCCGCTGGATATGGACCGCACATTCGGATAAGAACGAATAAAAAGGAAGCTTCTGCCGTCCAATTCCAATCAGCCCTTCGCCGTAGAGAGAGAGACGAATAAGAAGAAGGCTTCCGCTCAGCACTTCGCCGTCCTATTCCAATCGGCACTTCGCCGTAGCGAGAGAGAGAGAGAGAGAGACGGCGAAAGAGAGAGAGAGCACCGCCGCGGGTAAGTAGCATAGCCGCTGATTGGAATTTTTTTTCTTTCTAATTTTGAGGTTCCCACCGAGATGCTTTTACAATTTCTTCATTTTCTTACCAATTTCTTTTGTCGCTAGATTGAGATTTTCATATATTAGGTATAAAATTTCAGATCCTGATTTTTGGGCCCCAGATTGGAACAAGGTTGGAGACAAAATGGAGACCTAGAAATTTCAGATCCGTGCTTTCATTTTCCTAATAGTCTTCGTCTTCCTTCCTCCTCCGCACCCTCTCTGCTCACGCTCGCTGGAAACCATGTTTGGGACTAGGGTTTTGAAAGTAACCACGTCTGAAACCATTGGATTTTGCTAGGACAAAGGCGGTGGCGGGCCAGGTATGTACTCAGCTTCAATTAAGATTTTATTTTGATTTTCCATCCAAAAAAACAAAAATA